TGTATGTATGTATGTATGTATGTATGTATGTATGTATGTATGTATGTATGTATGTATGTATGTATGTATGTATGTATGTATGTATGTATGTATGTATGTATGTATGTATGTATGTATGTATGTATGTATGTATGTATGTATGTATGTATGTATGTATGTATGTATGTATGTATGTATGTATGTATGTATGTATGTATGTATGTATGTATGTATGTATGTATGTATGTATGTATGTATGTATGTATGTATGTATGTATGTATGTATGTATGTATGTATGTATGTATGTATGTATGTATGTATGTATGTATGTATGTATGTATGTATGTATGTAAGTATGTTAAAACCAAATCATTGACGAATGACACCAAAAGCCAAGCGTCTGACTAAATTTGATTTTGTTTGCTCTAACGTCACTCAACCCCGTCGGCATTTAACTCCACATTTTCCAACACACAGACGCGCAAAAACCGCTGCAGAATGCACGAGATATTATTCATAGCGAAAAAATATTCCCTACTATCGCCTGACCTAATACTGATATTTTTACAAATCCGATTGAAAAACCCGGAGGTGTTACGGTCCATGAGGCCGAGGACGTCGATACAAATTGGTAAAAACTCCATCGAGGGGAGAGCTCCGTCGTACTTCTTGATCTTCTCGTCAGATGCCCTGGTTGCAGCCAAACCGCTTTCTTTGCTAGTAAGCTGCACGTAACGCTCAGCAGAGGTGCCCGGAACGGTAACGTCCCAAGCCAAGCACCTGCCGGCTCTCCAAGGAATCAAGGTACACCCGTCAGGGCGCTTACCGTCGTGCGCCGCAATGCCCGACGGTTCCTTTAAAACCAAAATTGAGACCTTGGAGAAAAGCCGGCACACAAAATCGTTTATGGCTGAATGTCGCTGCTGCCGACCTTCGCCCAAACGACAAACAAGACCATGATGGCCGAGTTCATTCGCCTCCGCGCCGCACCTGCATGTGTATCGACTCTGAACGGCCAATCCCAGACAGAAGCCAATGGCTGTCCTGACCGTTTCGTCGTCCAATCTGATACCCACCGACGTATTGGGCAAAGATCTCAGCCAGCCACAACTCGCCTTGCTGGATACTGCCAGCAAGCGAGCTGAGGTCGCCGAGTCAGGACTTGAGGAAAGCAACTCTTTGAATGTGCGTTTATATGCTTCCTCCAAAATGTTGCCCTGGGAAAGGTCTGTTGGTTGGATTGGAGTCGGTGGAGTACAGTGTAGGCTACTAAATTTTCGTAGAAGGGCAGACTGTAGGTCAAGCGTGGCAGATGCAGAAAATTTATAAACAATTGGTGCAAGCTGAACCACGCTTAGTAACCCCAGTCCCCAAAATCGTACCGGCAGCTGAGCCTGAGACCAATCCTTGTCGGTAATATCGACGTTACAAATTGCTGAGAGAGCCACCCGCAGAGCACCCTCAAATTCGCCCAAAATGGCCGCATTAACAAAGTTGGATGTGCGCAAAAAATACATCAATTTCGAAAAACTGAGGGCGCCGCGGATGATTGTCAGCGCGTCGTGGACCGGGAGAAGAGAGACACGTTCGAGGGCAAACCTTAGCTCAAAAAGTTTTTTATTAAAAAACCTGTCCTGATGATCGCCGACCATCAATGGAGTGCCTAAAAAATTTGATGATGAATGGGGCACTGTGGGGACATTAGCCAGCACGTGTGGCATTTGAAACGTGTCATTTACGAGAAGTTCACACTTGTTTGTGTTTAATTCGAGACCAATGATGGAAGCGCCGACCCTCAGCGACAGGAAGTCGTCCGCTAAGATGTTACCCTTTGCGGCCAAGCTGACATCGTCCAGGTAGCCACAAACAAACGCCGAAGATGACTTCGCCAACAGTGGGTGAAGGGTTAGAGCAAAAGGCATCGGTCCAAAAGGGTCGCCTTGCTGTACGCCCTCGCACGATTCAACCACCCAGGCGTCGTAACCAAGAGAAGAGACTCGGCCATATGCGGAATGACAAAAATTATAAATTTGAGGACAGTGCTGCTTAACTGCCTCTAACATTGAGTCTCTTCTCAGGGTGTTGAAAGCGTTCTTGAAATTAATCTTCAAGAATCCCCACCGTTTTGGAAGTGCTGAAATCAGTTCACGCGGCGTGGACGGCCGCCTCAGCACCACCTTTCACGCCGACGCCCAATTGGATAGGATAGAGTTTGGCTTTGGCCTGTCCCAACACTAGCGCCAGAGCGCACTTACTGGCCAGCCTCCTCCAGAAATTCCCCACCGCGATGGGTCTGATCCCTCCATCTTTTTTGTTTAAAGCCACCAGACGGCCCCCAAAAAAGAAACGGCTAACCGCGGGAGGGCAGACCCCAGATAACAACAAATTTACAAACCGGGTGAGGTTATTTAACAATTCATCGGTGGGCGTCGGACCGGAAAGTAAATCCTTTATGTGCTGAGGCTTCAAGCCATCAAGGCCTCCCGATGAACCATTATTAAACGACTTTAAAGCCGTCAA